TGGGCTGCCACTGAGGGTACAGGAGAAGCCAGATAATACTATTTGGCTTCGATCCCATCGTACTCTATGTGTGCAACTTTGAGCTTATTTACTTCAGTTCTTTGAAACTAGGTTTCCTCATTTAGGAAATGATAATATTATTTAATTATGGGGTTCCTAGGAGACTTAAGAGTGGGGTTTGTATAAAGCATCAGATCTAGTAAGTGCCAATAAAAGTTATCTGCCTCTCTGGGCTTTCACTACTAGGAAGCTCAGAGGCAAATTGGAATTTGAAAGTTACCAGCTTGCATAGTTAGATTACTTTTTAAACATAATATAATTCCATTTTAATATAACCTGTCTTTGACCTCCTTGTCTTCATTTATTGTTTTCCTGATCCCGATCATTTATTTCTCTTACAGCTGTCTTATTTTAGGTACTTTGACAAGATATTTCCCAGATTCATTGCAGAACTAGGTGGAGAGAACCTAACTGATGTCAGGAGAGATGGGTCCTCACTATGACTGTGCAAATGCCTGTGTGATGTGGGGCATGGAGTCTCTGAACCTCCGTTTTCTCATCTGTAGAATGAGGGCAATATAAACCTGCTAGCTACCTCCTGGTGCAAGAATAGGATCTCTCACTCCTTTGCAAAAGTACTTTCATAAACTATGAAAACCTTGTAAGAGAAAACATTTATTCTTTGTGAAACGATGCCCCATTTTACTTATTTTTCCAATAATCCCCTTCTCCAAACTGTGCCTGAGACTCATAACACAGGGACAGGTATATATTAAGTGCTGAGAAACGGCCAAGGAATCTCATCTCCAAGGCCTCAGCCATGCCCGTTTCCTTACTCAGCAGAGAGCTTGAAGGCCCAGTGTCTTTTTTGACCTAGATTGTCTTCACCCACCAGAGATGGAACCATTCCACAGAAGGGAAGCATAAGAATAAAGACAGAGTTAAGTAACAGTACCCAATGAGTGAGTCTGTCATATGCCATATGGGAAAGGCAGGCAACCAAAGTCCCTATCATAGGGATTCAACAGGGATTTGTTTTGAAGCATTCTGACTTGGCCTGAAAATGAACAAGAAGATGACACCATGAATAAAAGATACAAAGATAAAGATCTAAGTAAGGATATAAGAAGAAAGCCCCAGAAAACAACCCCAGTGAGTGAAAGATCTCAGAAAAAATAAAACACAACCAGGCACACAGGGCAATAAGATCAAAATCAGATTACTTGACTAACGCCAGCATTTCTTTAAACTGAAAACAATGCATTGTTGGTCCTTGAAATATGACATGCACTCCTTTTTTTCAAGAATGTCAAAGCAATGGCCCATACCCCACACAGCCCCATCACCCTTGCCACCCAGAGGTCATTGTTCCTAATGCAAAATTGAGGGGCTTGAGTGAATGGATGTTGCAGAACTTAGCATAGCAATGACTTGGACTAGAAAACCCCAGAAAATAAACCTTTGCATGGAAAAGCAGAGTTTGAATTAGGTCAGGGCCCACCTGTTCAATAATGAAATAATTGCTCGGGGCAGGTTCATCTGTAATCTTTTCCAATGTGACATCTATTCTTGTGCTCTGCTACTCTCAATGCTTCCTCACCATTTGCAAATAATCCTAGGCTAGGGCCTCCTAAAGACACTGCCGCCGAAGCAGACAGTCACTTCCCTAATGCCTCAAAAATAGATTCAATTTTATATACAGCAGAGTGATTTCAGAAGCAATTTCAACATCTCCAGTGTAAGCATTACTTATATTTTTTTCTCCCTCAAATCTTATTCCAGTGAATCCACAAGGCACTTGGAAAGGCACCTGACACATTCCAGGGCGCTCAGAAGAACCCCAGAGCATGTGTGTGGCTATAGCCTGAGGACACGAGCTGCATAGATTCAATCCTAACATGTTGATTGATGCAAACAAATGCAAAGTTTCTTAATAACTGAGTATAGTGTCAATTGAAATTTGTTTTTCCTGTCTTTTTAAAAAGCAGTATCATTAAAATGAATGCATATACATATATGTCTCTGTGTGAGTATATATAAAACACACATATCAATCCTCTGGAAATAGTGTCTCTGGATTTTAAAATATCTGTCTAGATTCTGTACAGTGTTCTGCCTGTTCCTCTCTGGCTGGCTAATCCACCTCAGTCTTAGGCGCTTTCTTCTGAAGAGTCTAAATTTTGGCCCATGATGTTGTTTCCCCTTAAAATCTAAGAAATTGGTGTTACCCAGGTTTTTATTTCAGGTCAGAAAGCTTAAGGTCACATACCTATAACTTTGAGGTCACAATGATTGTCATGCGTCTTAGACCATAATCTTTTTGTCATTCAGAGTTCTCCAAGGACATTCTTATAAGTTCAAAAAAAGAGTGCACAGAGACTGGCCTGTACAGGAAAGGTTTTGGGCAAATGGGTGGCATTCAGTCAGTATGTGTCATCAGCTAGACTTGCCCCTGGGCCAAAAGCAGGAAAGTCAGTGACAAAATAATACAGCCTGCGGCTGGGGGGAATCCGTAAGGGCACACCAAGCCCATTTCCTTGCTCATCCCTACCCAGGGAATGTATGAGTCCCAGCAATTGACCTTGGTTGAGAATGGAAAAGGACTGGCTTTATGGTTCGGCAGACCAGAAACTTGCTCTGCACTCAGAAAAATGAAAGCTAAGTATTTGTTCATGAAATAATCACTATGTGCCATTAGACTTTGTCTTTAAAGCCATTACTCAACTACAAGAAGTGCTCAGACTGAGCTTCATCAATAATGGGCAAACTGACAGCATGTATCTATTGATAGAAGGCAAGGAGATGCACATGAAATCACCTATGTTGTATTTTTGCCAATATGTTTAACCTGAATGTAATCATGATGAAAAAATCAGATAAATCTGAATTGGGGAATACTCTATGGGACAACTGGTCTACCCTTTAAAAAAATGTCAGCATCCTGAAAGATAAAATACAGGTGGGAGGGCTATTCTAGATGACAGGGGCTGAAGAGACATGATGACCAATCTAATGTGATCACTTTTATTGGATTAAAATAATAATCATGATGATAATAATAATAAATGTTAGGACCATTGAGGAAATTCAACTATGGGCTGGTATATTAGGTATTGAACTAAGGTTACATTTCTTGGATAGGATAAGTTCATTGTGGTTATGTCCTAGTTCTTAGGAAACACATACTGAATTCTCTGGAGAATATATATATATATATATATATATATATAGTCTTCAACTCCTCTTGGAGTTACATGAGGATGAATCAGACAAGAGCCTAACTATTGTCCCAAGTGCCATCTAGGAACAGCACTTGGGAAGGTTATTCTTTGGAAGTTATCTTTTTCTCAATCTTTCAATGAGTTATTTTTTCTCAACCTTTCACTAGAACTGGTGCCTGAGCCACATCCTCATCTAAGGGCATGCTTAGAGAGAGAGAGGCAGGGAGAGAAAGAAAGAAAGAAGGAGGGATAGAGAGAGAGAGAGAGAGAGAGAGAGAGAGAGAAAGAGAACACAAATATCACAAATATGAGCAATTTGTGAATCAAGCCAAAGGCTATAAGAGTATTCATTTTATGCCCCCTCCCAACCTTTTTATAAGTTTTTTATGAGTTTAAAACTAATCTCTCTTTCCCAAGGCAGCACATCAATATTTGAAAAAGCCTTTTCTGCCCTTGAAGTTCAGTATTCTTAACCAGGGTCCCTATAGAACCCCCTGAGTGGCTTTTACAAAACCTACATCCGTCCTTACTCCTCATCCCTGCCCTACCCCTTGTCCCCTCCATACGCCTCTTCCTTAAGGAGATTTTGATTCAGTGGGTAAGGCCTGGAACCCAGATATGTATATTTTGAAAACTGCTTTGGATGGGTTGGTTCTATGCTGCACAGGAGGTTAAGAACAATGGGTCTGAGTTACACTCAGATCCTGGGTCCATCAGGAACTAGCGGTGGAACTCAGAGGAAGTCAGCACAACACCCTGAGCCTTGGAGACCTTCTCTATTAAATGGGAACAATAACACTGGCTGTGGTTAGGGAGGAGGGCGGTCAGTAAACATTTGCTTTTTTTTCTTTCTCCATCTTCTCATAGATCTGAATCATCCCAAACTGATCACATCCAAAGTGATTTTTACAAAATATGATTTCTTCCATTTGTCATTGACACAGTGTGTGGAGGTCATCTGCCCATGCTCACATTCCTTTAGATTCCCTGCATTCCATTAAACCCAGAAAAAAAACAACAACAACACTGGCCGACAGAATGATCTGAACACAAGTCAGTTCTCTGGAGTCTGATCACTAAGGTAACTTTAGGTCACCCGTCTGGAGCATGCCCTCTGGAGGAGGGCCAACCCCAGAATCTCAGACATTTCTGTTGGCTCGGGGTCCTGTATTATCTCCGCGTGAGGACTCAGGTGCTCCTGACTAAATGCCACTTGGAACATTAGCTGGAGCTTGGAACTGGCCAAGGTTTGGGAGGCATAGCTTCCAGGTCTGAATATGCTACTCATCAGCGCTGGGACTTGAGAGAAGCTGCTTCTTTAAGCCTCAGTTTCTCAAGCATTCAAAACAGATACAGCAATAATCTATGACGCATTTACCTTACATGGTTTATATCAAATGTTGTTTTAAAAATTGTAAGACACTCAATTCAATATGGCATATTTTTCTCCTTAAGTGCATAACCATGTCTTCTTCCCCCTTGTTTTTTGTTTTTTTTGGTGTGTTTTTTTTTTTACTGTTATTAGTTTTAACCCATCTTTATTTATGCCACAAGCAGTTAAAATGGCTGACTCCATTTTAAGGCAATTCTTAAATTCTTTTCACCCCAGGATGGGTGGTCCCAACTTTTTCCCTGGAGAACTTTTATCCTGGGCCGTCCCAGGGAAGCACCCCAACCCCATGCCTGGCAGGACCTGACCACTGTGAGGGGTCCACAGCAGAGGTACCAGGGTCAAGTAGGACCACAGATATTCCCTTCCCTTGAGTGAGCTCAACTTACTGAATCCGTTAACATCCTGAGAGCTGGAGGAAAAGCCTTCATCATTGCGGCTGGTGCTGAGCTTGGTGGTGGGTTTGTCGGTCGAGGCCACAGGCCCCATCTCCCTCTGGGCTCCGCTCTGTGTCTCCTTCTGCTTCTTGGCCAGCTTCCTTTGGGACATGTGCAAGGGAAAAAATCACAGTCAGATGGTGCCAGTTGCATTGAGAAGACCAGATTGCTCTCCTTCCCTACCCATCATCCTCAACTGCAAACCTGGTTCAGTCTCCAGAAACAGAGTCAAGGTGAGTCCTCCAGTATCAAGGTGGAATAAACCTAAATCCTTCTAAAACCGTTAGTGGCTTCTATTTACTCAGAAATATGATATGCATCCTGCCTCATCCCCAACTATGGTGTGTTCTTGGAACAGGATGAACTTAGATGAGGTCAGAACAGGAATTCGGTGAGACTAGCATGATGCTTCCCTTACTCTCCTGTCAAAGGCATGAGAGGCCAGATTGATCTTTCTGTTCCCATGGCTCTGAATGAGATTTAAGTGGAGTCTGATCTTTCTCAGGAACTGAGCTCATGAAATAATTAAGAAAACAATGGTAGATTGAAGTAGGGGTTGGTGGTTGGCAGTGGGTGAGGGTGGAGTTTAGGTAGCCTTGTAGCTCAGAAGGAGAAAAGTTAAAGCTAAACTTGATGCATAGCTTTTTACTTAGGCATAATAGACTCTCAGAACCAGATGGACATTTATAATAAGACTAGTTTAGAGCAGTGCTTTTGAATTCTGGTGCAAATTGGAATCATTTGGAGAGCTGAACACACACACAGGCCCAAGCTCATGAAAGTAGGACAGTGCCGGGACCTTTGCATGGCCACCAAGTTCCCCAGGTTATTCTGCCACTGTCCATTGAAGGTTAAAGCCATTAGTTTTAACATCAGGCAGGCCTGGGCTCATACTCTACCTCTACCACCTGGCAGTTGCATGACCCAGGGCAAGTTCCTCTGTGTACTGTGGCAAATAACAGGACAGGCCTTAAAGAGTTGTGAGAATTAAAGGAGACAACGTGTGAAACACATACAGCATAGTGCCTGGCACACAGTGAACACCCAACACAGCTTCTATGCTTGTTTTAATATCATCACCACTGGATCAACTACATTCCAGTGTCTGAAACCCCCTCCAACAGCCCCACTGTGAAACCCCCAGGTTATATCAAGTGATGGAGACTTTGACACCTAAGGAGCTAAAGGGTTAAAAGTTCTTCTCCACATGGATTTGAAATGTATTTCCCTTAAGTTTTAACTGATTTGTCTTCGATCTATCATCAGAGATATAAAAATATGACTAAGCCCTCTTGCATATGATAGTTCTTCAAATGTGTCTGAAAGGCAGCATGGTCCCTCTGGGTTTTCCCAACATTTGTTTATCTAAATATAGTTATTATGTTCCTATGATATGAAAGGTAAAATCTCGAGAGGAGATTCTTCTGGTTGTCTTCCTTCATTTTGCACAGAACTTGGTTTCAAATTTAATCTTGGTCCCTCCTATCTCAACGAGAGAACAGATATCCCAGAGAAGTCAAAGTCAGTGCCATATAAGAAATAATTCTTCAAAGTTGAACCCTCCTGATTATGAAATAGGCAGTTTCAAAAGGTAATGATCTCCCTGTCAGAAGAGGTATTAAATGAAAGGATAAACCTGGACTTAGAGATGTTTGAGGGCAGTTCATCTAGGATCAGTTCTAGTTGGACACTATGCTAGCATCCTCCTTTGCATGGGCCCCTTGACCTAGGTGTAGATCACACAGAATGACCAATGGCACACTTATCAGTAGATGAGTGTAACTTGAGAAGAGTTTACACAGGGGTGGGGAACCTTTTTCTTCCAAGGGCCATTTGGAGATTTATAATATCATTCTGGGGCCATACCAAATTTTCAACTTAAAAATTAGCCTCTATATTTGGTCAGACTTTCATTAACTCACCCCTAATGCCTTTGCAGGGCCAGACCAAATGATTTCATGGGCCTTATATGTCCCACGGGCTGGATGTTCCCCACCACTGGCATAGAACCACCAACAAAGGTGAGAAGGGTGTAGGGGAACCCAAGGTAGAATATATGACCAGAGAGCTACCACTTCTGTGTCCAGAAGGAAAGGGGAGGAAGCAGTCATCAGAACCCAAAAGGAGAGAGTCCTGAAGAGGCCACCTGAATAGAAATGGCCTTCTCTTGAAGGAGCCAGCCAATCCTGAACCAGAGGCATCATGGCCTGGCTACCTCCTCCCCTCTACCCTGACCTCCTACAGTGGCTCTCATTCGCTGAGCCCAATGGGAAGCCAGTGACATGGAGTCCCTATGGATCCCGCTCTGAAAACAGAGAGCGGAGTGCAGAAGCATGGAGACTGGATCTGCTCCAGGAATCCCTACCCAGAAGAAAAGAAGTGATTCTACCTCCCTCCTTTGGCCACAAGTTGTATACAGATGCAACCTAAAATGGAATTCTTTATCTTTTCTTTTCATCCATTGGTCTGGGGAAAGCTGGGCACTTAGGAGTAGGAATGCATCTTTCTTACAATGCTTTGGCCCCCAGCATACTGTTCCCCTAGTGAAACTATTCCAGGCAGATAGAAAAACAACAGGAAAGGTAGCATTGGATCAGTTTTTCTCACCACCTACAGGCAATCAGACAGGGAACGGGGAACGCCAATGAAAGAAAAACGAGCAATTCTGCTACTGATGACATTTTGAAGCTTTATTCTTCATTTATTATCAAAAAGGAATATGTTTAAAAATGTATATGTGACCTTCTTAATCATAAATTTGAAAAGATATACATCAGATCCTTTGCCTCTACCCGAGCTTTGCTCACATCGCCCCAGGAGGAAATAAAAGGAAACTTGATAAGAAAGTAAACTTTAAAACTATAAATGACTATGTATTGGAGTCTTTGATATTTCCCTGGGGGCAGAACTCCTAACCAATCTCATTCCATTCAGGGTAAAATAATATGGAGAGAGCTGTCTTTGGCACAAATCATTGCTTTCCAAAGGGATAATATTAATAAAAAACAGCCTCACTGCTTCTATGAAAAATGGCATTTCACAGAAATGTTTGGGCAGCTCTGAACACCTGGATAAATAAATATATGAAACACTGAGCCTCTCCAAAACACGTATTTAAAAATTGTACAACTGAGTTGTAAAAACCGACATACGACATCCCTAGTACTTAGTAGTTCATGGTTGATGCTACCTGTTCATGATGATGATGATGATGATGATGATGCTCTATAGCAGTGGTTCTCAACCTGTGGGTCGCAACCCCTTTTGGGGGGGTCGAACGATCCTTTCACAGGGGTCGCCTAAGACCATCAGAAAACCATATATAATTACATATTGTTTTTGTGATTAATCATTATGCTTTAATTATGTTCAATTTGTAACAATGAAATTGGGGGTCACCACAACATGAGGAACTGTATTAAAGTGTCGCGACATTAGGAAGGTTGAGAACCACTGCTCTATAGTAATTTATAAAGGTATAGACAGGTGTTTCAGCAACAGGTACACATGCTACAAAGTGGAAATGGAGTTAATACAGAAGGAAATAAAATATAAAATCACAGTCTGGGGACCTAACTTTATCAGAATTCAAATTTTAAGTATTAAAAATCCTCTTGGTAATAAAGGAAAAATTATATCCTTTTCTATTGCCATAGAGTTTAATTGATTCCCCTCCCCTTTAAGAGAAGGGAAAATCCAAGCCAGTGAGGAGGCCATATGAGACCCTCAGACTGTGGCTCCAGCTTCAATTCAGCCTTCTCTTTCACACCTGTCTCCTTCTTAGGAAACACCAATTACTCATCTCCCTTCTGCACCCATCCTTCAATACTCTGTTTCCTAAACATGCCCCCATTCTCCTCCGCTGGCCACCACCTCTTCATCCTGCAAGGCTCAGTGGCTTTCCAGAGTCATATCTTGTTGAGATTTCCCCTAAACATATTTCCTCTTTTCTCTGCTTGGTTGACTCAGCCATTCAACTAGTATTTATTGAGCACCTACATGTGCCAATCTCCGCTAGATGGAAGGAGGTCACAGTGACAAATGACTACACATAACTTTGACCTTCATAGAACAGAGATGCATGGCAAAGACAGGTGCTAAACCGATAATACAGAACAAACATCAAATCACAAAGGTGTTAAAAGCCAAGGAGGAGAAACACAGGAACCTCTGAGAGACGTAATAGCTGGTTTGCGTCCTGGCAGGAGATCAAGCAATGCCTTGTTGCCATGTCAGCTCAGCACTTGACTAGTCCACGCGCAGTGATTCAACTCTCCTGCCCACCAGGGCAAGAACCTCTTGAATGAAGGGCTTTTGACTTCTTGCACCTACTCTAGTTTCTTGCTGAGCGGCTGTACCATAACTGGTGCTCAACAAATTTGTTGCACAAATTTATACTTAAAACCCTACAATCTGAAGTGTAGAAAGATCGTCATCCTACTCTGACTGCAAATTATAACCACTTAGAAAAAGACACATATAAGGAAAAAGGAAGAAAAACCTGCATGAAATTATTTCGTGACTTGGAATATTTATACTTATGAATATTTTTGGCCAATAACAGCATTTCCTTCCTGTGGTTGTCAACAGAACTCTTGGGATGCTCGAGGAATTAATGGAATGTTTACAAAAGTCAGAGATTTCCCCCTCCTCAGGACCTGTAGAAGAGCCACAGCTATAGATGTAAAACAAAAAGCAAAAGAATAAAAACCTCATAAAATATTCATGTGATACAGGGAATGGTCCCATACCTTATGGAATCCTCATATCCTTTAAGACTCACTTATTTGTGACTTCACAAACTTGGAATTTTCTTTTTCTCCTTGTTCTGAAATTCTTGCCAACTGGATCACACAATTTCACCAGCAGGGGGTACCAAAAGCTGGTGGAAAGAGCGTGCAGAAGCCCATGTATTCCTCTGCAGGTGCATTTCTAGAGCTGGGGAATGTTTTAAGACCAGCAATCTGAAGTTTACTGCTTCTGACAGGTGGGGACAGTATGACATGGCCACAGCTCTTGGCATTCTTTGTTCTAACAGATCACTGCCAGGTCTCTCTGACCTTTGCTTGTTAGCTGAGTGAGGGCAGGCGGCAGGGCTGTG